TTTTAAATTTTCAAAAGTAAATTTTCCTTCACTTGGGCCAAATTATCATCCCTTGGGAAAAAAACTTGCAAAGAATAGTCACAACCTTCCACTTTTCCCGTCTAGGTAGATCATTCTAGTAAGAAGACAAATTTCCGTGGGTTACGCACCCCTCCTCCCCTGGGGTAAATCATTGATAGGTGCACAAATACGGTTGTTTAAGTCGGAAAATAGATGTTACAAGACTAGCAATTTTCATATTTTAGTTTAAGAACTATTAAATATTTATCAAGGAAACATAAAATGTTGTTTTAGGTGTCGATTCGGTCCTTTTCGAAGGGATTCTGATCTCCATCTGACGTATTTGTGTGATGCAAGAGGCGCTTGACTGTGATTGGCTAGAATTAGAAAGGGTTCCAAAGTGTAAGTCACCTCGTGCGCACAACGACACGCTCGCGTCATCTGTCTATTTCGTTAGTCTATGCAATAAGGAGGATTCCATGTGTGTGGGGTTTTGTCTCTTCTTTTCGCCTTCTAATGGTTTTTATCAAGTTTTTCTTGGGAATGATAATACCCGAAGGTAAAACTTTAACAATTTGAAATATTCCGTCAGAGAATTTAAACAAAAACTTGTGAAACAAGACAGTTTTTTCGTTTGAATCCTTACTATACTTCATAGTCTTTCGGCAGAATTTTGCCAGTCATTTCTAAAAGTGGAAAGTACATTTGACCTTGTTCTGCCTGTGTTTTCTTTTTTGTCTTTTTTAGCAAAACAATTGGTGAAAAACGTTTTGCAGAGCAATTCTTCTTTGAGCTGATATCCGAATCTTTCAGGTATTGAATATAGTATTGAAGTTTGACAAAGACTGATGCCGTTGCCATCTTTTTGAGGGTAAGTCAGTACCTTTTAGCTCGGTTTTGGTCTCAGAAGTCAAAAAAATTGCATAAAGGTTTAATTTGCTTGGTTTGATAACTGAGGTAGTTTAAGTCCTTACTTTAAGCTTGTGACTAAATCATGCGAGGAATCGACTTGTGACACGCTAAGAGGAAACCGCGAAGGAAATTAACTTGAAAAATGATAAAGAAACAACTAATTCCAGAAAAAAAGGAATTATATCTATTGTTTTGAGAACTCAAAATAACTCAAAAAACGCTTTTTTGTAAAGTGTGGAGCTCAATATTTTTTAAAAAARCTGCCGTTAACTGAAATGAAATTCAAGTAGTTAAACTAGAGCTATGGTATAATTCCTTATTATTGCATTTGAATTACGATAACATTTTGGAAGTGTCGGTTTATTCTCGCGAAAAAAACCTTGACAAAAATACATAAAAAAAAGATATAATTCTCTTTCGTTTATAGCTGCGGTCATTAATTAATTACCTTCCAGCGGTATTGATTTCAACAGTTTCCATAGTAACGAAAATGGCGGCTAGCTTTGAATCAACTTGTAGCAAATCAAAACTGAATTGCACGCTGCAATTATCTGTAAAAAAAACTATCATCATGATCTTTAAATATAGATGCCAACTGACAAACATGGAAGAATAAAATATAAAAAATACACATATAAGTTATAGTAAAATTGTATTCGAACACTGATCTTTCTGATACCGGCATGAAAGGACTTTTCTTAGCTAAACCAGAGATAAGACTCAAAATTAAGCTTAAATGGAGAATGTCAAAAAGGCCAGCAATAATAATATAAAGGCAAGCAATAATTACATTTAAATAAATACATTT